AGGCATTCATTCCACAACGATGGCCACCGATAAACCAATCAGAATCGGAGTGATGGGTTGCGCGGACATCGCTCGGAAAGTCTCTCGTGCGATTAACCTCGCTCCCAACGCCGTTATCGCCGCCGTGGCAAGCCGCTCCTTAGAGAAAGCCAAATCCTTCGCCTCCGCAAATGGCTACCCTGAATCGACCAAAATCCATGGCTCCTACGAATCGATTCTCGAAGATCCAGAGGCTGACGCTCTCTACGTTCCTCTACCCACCAGCCTCCACGTCGAATGGGCTATACGCGCCGCCGAGAAAAGGAAACACATCCTTCTTGAGAAGCCCGTCGCCATGAACGTAGCTGAGTTCGATAAGATTGTCGCGGCTTGTGAAGCTAACGGCGTTCAGATTATGGATGGTACTATGTGGGTTCATAATCCTAGAACCGCTAAGCTCAAGGAGTTTCTCTCCGTTCCAGAACGTTTCGGCCAGCTCAAATCTGTAAGTACGCCATAGTTTTCTCTTTGATTTTCATGAAATTGGGTGATTGAAGTTTCTGGGTTTCTTCAAATTCAATACCTTTGGTTCTTAGAATAGAGTTGGAAATGGCTATTCTCTTTGGATGATTGACATTTTCAAATTTTTTTGGCATTCTAAGAACATGCATAATGCTTGTCTAGTTTCCATAGATTCACAGTAACAACATAGCTAGTGTGGCTTTTGCTTCTTCAAGATTAGGTAGTGTTAAGAGCTCTCTCTTGGAAGTCTTATTTGTTTCTATTCCGATGTTGGAATCTGCAGGCACAGAGTTGCTTCTCATTACCTGGAGACGAAAATTTTCTAAAAAACAACATCCGTGTGAAACCGGATCTTGACGGGCTTGGTGCGCTTGGAGATACTGGATGGTACGCAATCCGAGCAACCCTTTTAGCCAACAACTTTGAGCTTCCCAAAACCGTCACTGCCTTTCCCGGCGCTGTCCGAAACGAGTCAGGAGTGATTCTCTCCTGTGGAGCATCACTGAGCTGGGAAGACGGAAAAACCGCAACCATATACTGCTCCTTCTTGGCAGACCTAGCAATGGATATAACCGCCATTGGAACAAAAGGTACACTTCGTGTTCACGACTACATTCTCCCGTATAAGGAGACGGAGGCATCGTTCATCACAAGCACTAAAGCTTGGTTCAATGACCTCGTGACTGCGTGGGTTGATCCCCCGAGCGAACACACGGTTAAGACAGCTTCCGCAAGAAGCGTGTATGGTGAGAGAATTTGCTCGTTTAGTTGGAGAAATCAAGAACAAAGGTGCAAAGCCTGATGTGTTTTGGCCGAGCATTAGCCGAAAGACACAGCTAGTGGTTGATGCTGTGAAAGAGTCGCTTGACAAAAACTATGAACAGATTAGTCTCTCTGGTCGGTAAATAAAGTGACTCAAATTAGCAATGTTGTCATGAGTTCTTACTGTTGATCATCCGGTAAGTGTCATTATCCGTTTGTACACCTGTATCCTTACTGTTGTATGGATCTGTATGTTGGTAGTACTTACTAGTGACATGTTACGTTATGACAGTAGTGTACAAATCAGTGACTACCACTTATCATAAAGTAACCTCTTTTTTTTTTTTGTCGACCATAAAACCTTTTTAAATACTCATTTGTTAGTGTAGTGGTTAACCAAAACACAAATTCTGCGTCTTGTTTTAGCATTTTGCAAAATTTTGTTCTTTAGTAAAAACATACTTTGCGGACACGAATCTGTCCCTAATCCGTCGAGGAAGTTTTTT